TACGGGCAGTTTGAACGATGGATTCGATAACCTGTCACAACTACAGATAGTGTACTTGGTCAACAAATGGAATAATAAAGACAAACACTCAAAAAAACCAAGATCGACGGCTCGAATGATAATCAAATAGCTAAGTAACGGTGCTCGTTGGTCAAGGTAACACGATAGGATGCACATATTTCTTTTGAACACGACTCGGTTTGCAAGTGGTGAAGGTATATGACATCGGCAATAGATAACAACTGTTTGAGGAAGCATCGCGAGTCAAGTTCAGGCAATGAGCAGAGCAGTTTGAAGTCGTTCTCTGATGCTGCACGGTCGTATTTAAGGTGTGACAAAATCAGGCTGTCTGAAGACTTCATTTCGCCTCTGCAGAACCGCATCGGGATATGCTCGCGGATCTTTTGGGAAAAACGCCTCGTGCATCACAATATCAATAAACAAGCATTGATCAAGAAAACGAGGGCAGCTTATGTTTCGAGGGCTTAGTAAGCAATGGCTTATTGTAATATACTATTCTGAAATGAGCTGCGGATGCCTTCTCAACAACATCCGTTAGGAGTCGGGATAACCCAGCGGCAACACCGTCTTTGAATGGCAAATGCATGAAAAGTTCTTTCTTCGGAGCAATGCTCCTTGTTGGCTTACGTTCTTGTTGACTGAGTACATTATCTGTACCCATGACTCAGGTTATCGAATCTATCGTCAAATTGCGTATAATCAATATCTAAATCCTTCCTGCACTTCTATAAATTTGGAGCACTGTAGCGGTCTAAATAACATACGGAGAACACGGGTGTTTCACGATGATATCATTTCGCGCTTTCTGATCACATCCAAATGAGCGACATTTAACCAGCAGGAAAGGGCAAAATAAGTGATTTGAACGGCGTCGGAACGTGAATAGGAGAAACATAAGGGCATAAACTCCAAGAGAAGTACAGCGTTTGAGACCGACATCAGCTGTTTGTACACACATAGGTCCGGACGACTGTGATTAATTGTCACAGCCTCCGCAAGTTTGAGTATCTTGGCGTTTTCCTTACGGTAGATGACCATAAACGCCAATTTAGAGTCAAGTTGATGCCTCATTCCAAGTAGATGTCTGGCAATCGATGAGGCCGGCAATTTGGATCCAGACTCCTGTCTACGCGACTGTTTTGCCACAATTGAAGCAACCCATTTCGAGATGCGCCTGCGCAGACACCGGTCTGTTCTGCCGATATAAGTGCTCCACAGCTACAGAAAAGTTGTAAATGCAATGTGTCGTGGCAGGAACCGATTGCGTAAGCTTAAACGGAGGCGTTGCTAACTTAAAGGTTGTCCAAATCGGGCACAGTTTTGCAGCACTGAATGCATGTTGAATTGCTGCGGCAACACGCTGCTCGACTTGCGTTGCCACACCATCCCCTTTTGAGTGGCAATTGTAGATAGACGGGCATTCTTGACACGGCAGACTTTTGTTTGCTCCGTTCCGTCGTGCGGCCGTGGAACTTGATAAACGTTATCGGGCAGCTGTTTAGTCTTTAGCGTCTGTGTGATGAACTGCAATTCAGGTTCGACACATTCAGGACTGCCTGTTATACGAGCTCGTTGGAACAGCGTTGTGACGAGACAACGTTTGTACCGGACCGGTGTGAAGCTGCTGCGGTTTTCGTAAAGCCCTGTGCAAGAGGCTTTTCGATAGACAGAACGTCGTATCGAGCCGTCGTCAGTTCTGGTCCAAAGTACGTCCAAAAGGCAGACAGTTGTTGTTCTCTAACTCAAATATAAAATATGCGTTCGGGTGTGCGTTGTTCATCCCCTTGAGAAGACGCTGAGCGGCATTGGTGTTGGGGGCGATCACTAGCGTGTCGCTTGTAAAGGCACATCCGGTAGAGGTGTGGTTCACAACGTGCTTCAACCATTACCATGAAAATTTGTTAGCGTAGGACCGAGTGGAGTTTCCATTGTAATGCAGTCCATTTATCAATAGGACTCGCCTTCGAACAAGAAATGTACATTCTCTGTTCATAACAGAATTAAATCGTTTAGATATTTGACGGGTACTAGCAAGACCACTTTTCTATTCCTCACGAAATCGCTAACCGCCACCTCCAAGCTTCCTTGGGGACAGTGGCACTTGTCTTGAACGTTGTGATTCTCTTAGAGTTTATACCCTTATGTTTCTTTCATTCCCATTCCAAGATCATACAAATCATTGATATTGCCTTTCCGTGATCGTTAAATGTCACTCGTTTGTATGTGAACAGAAAGCACGAAATGATACCATCGTGCAACACCCGTCTTCTCCGGCCTCCATGGGACGCTTGCGCCTACAGAAGGACCATGGGTGGCTTGCGCTGCACCACCCACACACCCCATATCCAGTGTAAACCGCCTAGGAATATGACCCGGAGGCATGTGGATGGGAGCCACGTTTCGCCAACGGAGCCGACTCCCATTCCATTAACAAGCAGAGCAGAAACATTCATGCCTAATTGGGAAATCATGTGGATTAGATGTACATAAGTCGGTGGCTGGGCCGTAGCCCGTTCCACATTGGATGCATGGAGCCACTCTTTAAGCCTAGCACGGCCACGAGGACGATGCATCCGGTCCCCTCCAGCAACGACCAACTGCCTTCTGGAGCCAGTATAGGCGAGGTAGTTGGTAACAGACGGGTAGGTACCTTGTCAACATTAACCTCAAGCGCAGCCACAGTGGGGAAATTAATCAACAGCCAACACCTGAAATGCAAGAACCTCAATACGCAGACGCACGGACAGACGAACTGCAACGAGGATGCAACACAAGTACCACATCAACCGCCTTATTGACCTAGGTTAGTAAATTGAATTGGAAGCAGCAAAGTTACTAAGTACCGTGTGGATGATGACCACACATTTAGGATACTCGTCTTAGATGTTGGCTCAAAGTGGCGACGCTGGTGGCTCAGCAAACCCGTTTGGCTGAGGCATTCGCGACCGCATGTGCATAATGCGCTGGACGTCGATGTGCTATCCACCATCGACGCCTGTGTTGTGTTATTTAGATTTCAAGTAAACGAAAGGGTCGGATGAGAGCTTAACAGTAAATAATTCTTCACTTACACCTCGATTTCTGGTTTTGATTATGAACAATGAGATGGGAATACTTGCTTTGCTGAAGCTCAGCACACCCGTGATTCACTCAGCCCCATTAAACTTAGGCCGTACATTCTGTGTGCATAAGGAAATTAGATCACTGTTACTCCGAAGGGAGATCTATGGACGAGTTTTGGCTCTACAATTATATTATATATATATTTGCAACAGACTACGAATAGGCATGGAGCCAACAAAAAACCATGGAACTCAAAGGAAAGTGCAGATATCGTTAAAAAACAACACGGAGGAGTTCATGGTTCCGTCAAAGGGCGAGATACTATCCAGCTGCTCAAGCCGAAGTAGGGTGTTGACTTAGGGGACACTACCCTGCGCTTTGGGCCAAATGGCCTGTCCGCAAGGCAGCGGAGCGAAATCAGGGAATCGTGCCCATTGGGAGCCGGCGACCGATTGTCCAGTTCACATGCCTTTCGTTTGCCAAACAAAGGCCCAATGCTCCCCACAATTTCAGTATTATATTGCTGGAATACAATGCTTCGCCAGTATGATGCAAGGGGCAGTGACTTTATTTAGTGGCGAGTCACATCCGCCACGTCACAGTGTTGTTAAGTGGACATATGTGGCTTTTTATAGGGAGATCACTTGACAGGCGAAAACCCACCACGTCCTGGAATACTGCCGCCGAAGGATTTGCTGGAACGGGATAATCCCGAATCACCCAGCTGACACCACGAGGTTGTTCGGCAAGCCAAGAATCGGTATAAATCAACTGTGTCACAGTGGCACGTTGGTGAACAGTGAATCTATATCTAGTGAATACATTACCTCGGCGTCTCACGTCGATCGCACAAGAAACTCAGTCCAAAGGAATCTTTTAAGCAATGGGTTGACAGCAAACTACGAACAGCTTCTAAGAATTCCACTAACCACCGGGCTATCCCTAGTTAAATTGCATTTGCAACTGAGGAGAGTAATCGAAATGTTAACATTTCGCGACTTACGTCTTCCTGCTGCGCTTAGTAAATAAATTAAAGGGGCTCAAGATTCCAAAGTTCGTAAAAGAAGACGCTTAAGTGCACCGATAACAACAAATGGTGCAGTTTGCAGTCGAGTGTCCTTCTGTATTATATTGCATAATGTGGAGACCTCTAACTATGCTTATTATCTGTTCAGAGGGTGAGCGACTTGTTGAAAATGGAGAGATCAGAGTATCAAGTTGTGGGTCACAATTAAACGCTTGGTAAAATAATTTAAGTATGATTAAAGGCGTTGAAAATGACCCGAGGTCAGGGAAGCCAGCGATTGCCACCACCAGTAAAAACCTTCATCGTGTGGATATGATTAAGCAAAATGGCTGATTTCCAACAAGTCGAGTAGTAGACAAGTAAGGCATCTCTCAGGAGTGAACCGATAATACTTTTAATAATGAAGTTGGCTACTCAAAAGTTGCACCTCGTTGAGTCCCAGGTATTTTGACTTTTGAGCAGAAGCGCATTCGGTGTGACATGTCATTGGAACAGTTGGAAGTCGATGTAGACAATTTTCTCGCTGCATTTCTACCTATGGATGTGGCTTGTCTTTGGATACACGTTGCCTGGACGGATTGCTGCGTACAAGCTGAATTGCTATTGGGTGAAGCTAGGTCGTCGAAAACGTATAAATGTCGGATGTTGATCTCAGCCAGTGCTACACTTCGCAGTCGATACGTAGCCTGTGTGAACAATTATGGTAGAGATAAACTAACTAGGAAACGAACTCCGAAAGCAGAAACTGTCAGCTGATGTCCATGTCACGACATCATCAAGTCCCGCCTGTCACGACGGATACGAACTTGGTGTTTGCTTTTGAATACTCATTGTGTGGATGAACTGTGGAGTGTAATCTGAATTGCGATCGAGGCGAGCTTGGGTCAGCCCGGTCACTAATACTGTATTTGAAGCGAATATCATAACTGATGGCTATAATAAAGAGAATAGAAAAAGACTCATTTTCAATGATCAAAGCTCCAGTTTTGTAACCAACCAACAAATTAGAGACCCAGCCATAAAGTAAATTCAGTTAAAAATCGTACATAATGGAAAAGCTCATTAGGGGGTTCTCTCAATATGGAATGTACATGAGTACTTCTAACAAACCGAAAGAATTCGAGTAATAAATGCAGTCCATGCGATCATCATCGTACCGGCATTAGTAAGAAACGTTGACTGACTGATGATCACAGAGGAATTAAAAGAGCGAATAAGAAAATGACTCAAAATGTGCAAAACAAGATTGTATAAAGGCGTGAATGCTGATATGAACGATTGGATCCGAGCAGAACGAATGTTGGACGGCATATTCACGTCGGAGTAGATGTCAGTTTTGGAGGTGTTGTCATTGGTGGGACAAGCAGAGAATGGATATGTCGCTTTCGTGTGAACTAACTAGGGATAAATACGGTTAAAACAGAGGAAAAACGAACGAGAGGCAACATCAGTCTGTAAATCAGAGCAACAAGTGGAACGGTGTAAAAAACACAGCCAATGAGGATATGTGATGAGGTGCGATTGAGACCCTCTCTTCACAAGAATAACTGAAGAGGAGAACTAAACCGTAAGTGAATAAGAGAAACGTGAGTGATATGTGCATGGTTGGTGATAAGCAACGACTGTAAATAAACTAAATAAACATTAAGTAAAATTTGCCACATTCGTGAAAATAAAACACAAGTTATCAATCGATACATGATATGTCATGCGGGCAAGGCGAGGATATAACTAGTGGATGCATGGATTTTAGATCTGGGCAACCGAGGTGCACGCGAGGAAAAAATCGACTAGGTAGATAAATGCACTAAGCAAAAAACTTAATTGCAGCGACACAAATGTCAATGTGGAGAGGTGGGGGCAAAAGTATCGGGGAAAAGTCATTCACCAGAAAAAATAGTGGTGACTAGAGAAATGCCCAGAGAGGGCTGATATGAGTAGAACAAGGCAACATGTGCGTGTGTGAAAGTATCTAAAGCCAATCACACAGCAATGACAAATGAGGGGACTACACCTAGGTCATGGAATCCCAATGGAATTCATCCGGACCGATTGCACTCAAACTGGCTCGAAAGGAGATGGAAGTGGGACTTGAGGAGAATGGAACATCTTGATCAAAGCTTAACTCATATTTCGGATTGTGTGGGTTGTCACAATTTGATGCAGCTTCGATCGGAGTGTCATACATCCGGTTAATATGGTTGAGGACCGCTCGATCATCATTGGAGTCAATAGAAAAGTGCAACTCAATTGGTTGGTCAGATGGTCTGAAAGAGGTGGCTGAGTTCCTTAGAGAGTTACCGGCAACAGAATCAACAAATTGGGGAGAATGAGAGCGATAACGTAGTTTAGAAGTCATGGTGCCCAACTCAGACCCTGCTAGGAGAGACAGATCGGAAGGACCATTTGCCAGAGGAAAAGGGAATGTACTGGCCTGCGTGTCTGGAATGTGAGCAGCCGGGTTTTCGACAGTAACCTTCGAAAGACGCATTCTGTCTAATTCTGAAAAAGCGAAAGTCGGGAGATCCGTAGTATGATCTGAAGGATCAGGACTGAAGAAACCCGAGGTAGTGATCACACGGTCCGAATTCCAGTTCATGCGATCTGCAGATATAAATTTGGAGCCATTCAACAGCCCATCTGGCACAGGTGTGTGCTTTGAACTCTTTACACCGACGTCTTGAGTTACATTTGTTCTTGTAGGTGAAGTTGAGGCGGAATATTGGTCTGAATAAGTCATAGAAGGATGAACTGCAAAGAAATAAGAAAAAAAATCGATGGAGGAGACAGGGTAGGGGTGAGATGAACGTATGCCTGGAACATTTACAGATCCGTAGGCTATACATGTTAATAATAATCGTTAAGGATATGTTCACTTGCCTAAAAACACTAAACAGATGATGGAAGTTTGGGTGGTTTGATAAATCTGTTCTCGCAGGGAGCATGGGACGGATGATCAGCTAGCAAAAGCAAAATGTACTGCCAAGCAACGTTCAAAGCTGTAAGATGCAGCTACGACGTAACTAATGCACGCGACACGAACTGCCGACATCAAGAGTCGACACAACGAGCAGTGAGGGAAATCAGATAATCTATGCTTCGGGCACCGAAGTGCGGTGGGGATCAAGTTGTCACAACGGACGTCACCAGGAGAACAACCACCGACAGTGATGAGGAAAAGGATGTAGAACGCAAACGGGATATATGGAGGGAAAATGTTAAGAAACAGGTGGATAAAATTAGACGGTATGGAATATAAGTAGCTAAATGCCAAGAAACCGAATGCAAGTGTGTCATTAGATGCGTGACTTAATAATATTCGACAGTCTCTAAACAATGATGTGACCCATCCCGAGGCAGTTCTCAACCGGACTATTTGGTCTTCATTTCCCCAGGCGCTTGTGCCTCCTGGTCACGTAATGCCCACCAAGTAAGGCGATCAACGACGTAAGGAGTAAAAAAAAACTAGCCAACACAAGCGGTTCAATGAGACAATGAATTTATACGGGTTAAGAAGCGTTGCTTTACAAGTCCCGTTGGATAGTTGCAGGGGATATCAACATAACGATAATGATGATAAGGATAGTAAAATAGTTAATACTTTAAATATGAAAATAAGGACTTATCGCTTGCTTCACTGCAGTCCTGCGATCCTCTTAAATTCACAGCATCCACAGTTAACAACAAATAATCCCATGGTAAACTCCAGGTGTAGGATGGAGACGTAGTGTTGAGTAACAAAGTGTAAGTGGATGAGTGCATCGTCCAACCGTCTTTTAAATACTGTTAGTGTCGGTGCAGAGACGACCGATTCTGGGAGATCATTCCACGGGTGACAGACACGGATGGAAAAGAAATTTCTGCGGCACTCCAGACGACTGTATTGTCCTGCGAGTTTTAATGAGTGGCCCCTCAGGGTTGTATTGCTGCTGAGTTGCAGTAAAGGGCGGCACACATGATGTGGGTCTCGCAGAATCAAGTATGCCATAATCAGGTCGCCTCGTAGTCTGCGATAGCTTCCACTGAACAATCCCAGTCGTCGCAGCCTCTCCTGGTAGGAAAGATTGCGCATTCCAACTACGTTCTTAGATGCCCGGCGTTGTGGCTGTTCCAGTGCATTAAGGTCGTGTTTCAGCCATGGATGCCAGGCTTGAATTGCATATTCGACATGGGGGCGAACATACGCACTGAGCATTTGTCGAAATATGGAGCTGTTTATTTGTCCAAACGCCCGCCTCAACAGCCCGACGTGTTGGTTCCCGGTCTTCGAGGCCTTTTCGGATTGTCTGGAGCAACCCAAGTCATCTTGAACCAGGACATCCAAGTCACGTTCGACAGCTGATTGTTGCAGTACATCCGTTCCGAGTCGGTATGAGTAGCTGCTTTGATGTCAGATGGAAAGCACCTTGCATTTACTGACGTTGAAATGCAATAAGTTTTGGGTCGACCATTGATACACTGTATCTAAATCACTCTGAAGCACATGTTGGTCGGTGTTCGCCAGGATCCTGCGCCAGATCTTGATATCGTCGGCAAACATTAGAAAGTTTGAAGCGATTCCCTGTGCAAGGTCAATGATAAACACCAAAAACAAACGTGGACCTAGAACCGAGCCTTGCGGCACACCACACTCGACTTGTATGGGGTCCGATAAAGAGCTCCGAACTCTGACCACTAATTGCCGTTGAAGTAGAAATTTGGCGATCCAGCTTAAAAGAGGGTCGCCGATCCCGTAATGCTGCAGCTTGGATAGTAGTATCCGATGGTCTAGACGATCGAAAGCCTTGGAAAAATCCAGGTAGATCACATCAACACATTCTCCAGCGTCAGCTGCGTCGGTCCAACTACTGCGTGCAATTAGTAAATTCGTTGTACATGACCGCTGTCGACGGAAACCGTGCTGTTCAGGAGTGATGAGGTTGCAGTTTTCCAAATAACACACCAGTGCATCGGTAACTATGGATTCCATGACCTTGGAGAGTATAGGAATAAGGGTTACTGGGTGGTAGTTAGAGGGATCAGTTCTGCTTCCACCTTTGTGAATCGGGGTTATTATTTCAAGCTTCCACATGGCGGGAACTTGGTTCTGGTCTAAGCAGTGCTGGAAAAACTGAGCTAAAGGTCCTGCCAGTTGGCTTGCTGCTGCTCCCAATGCCTCTGGACGAATGGTGTCGACACCCAGCGAGCTGTGTTTGCGTAGAGAAGTCAGCTTTTGCAATACAGCCTCTGCGGTAAAATTGATGTGGGTTAGTCCTGGTGAGCAGAATACAAAGCTTGGTAAATCGCTTGGTGGCAAGACTCTTTGAAACGTGGGGGCGTATTGCATCTGCAGCGCGTTTGCAGCTTCCATAGCCGTTCTTGTTGGGTCATCAGCCGTCTTGAGAGAAGGAAATCCTTGCCTCACCTTTCGTAGGCTACTAACGTGCTTGTACAGCAGTTTATGATTAGCACTGAAGGTTTTTGCGATGCTCTCCTGATAGGCGGCTCTGTCTTCTCTTAACAGTTGAGTGCAGTGGTTAGGTTGGGCTACGTACTTGTCCCAAGTTTCTTGTGCTGGAGCTTCTCTGTACACTCGCCATGCTGCGTTGCGTACTGTCATCCATTTTCGAGTTCTGCTCCTAACGAAAGAAACTGATTTGCACTTATTGCAAGCTTTTATCTCTGAAGCCTGTGCAATCAGCTGACTGAATTTTTTGATGAACTCGATCCAGGCGACTTCCGGGGGTTCTTCTTCGAGGAAAGACCATGTTGTGGCGCTGACTAGCTTGGCGAGTCGGTCGTACCTTGTGATGGTTTGCACAGTCTCATCGTTATCATTCAGATATTCTGCATAGCAAACGAAGTTGAAACTGATGACTGCGTGATCACTGCGACCCAACGGGCAGTCTAAAACCAACGCATCAATCATATGCTCCTCGTTGGTAAGCACAAGATCCAACACAGATGGCCTGTTACCAGTTCTGAACCAAGTGCACAAAGTGATGTGATTGTAAAGAGGAACAGTAGTTACTAGATCTTGTAAATCGGTTTTGAATTGTTCTCCGATGGTGGCAGGGGCTTCTAAACAATGTACGTTGAAAGCACCCATGATAAGAATGTGAGTGTACTTTTGTTGTAAACTGCACCTTAAAGCAGCCGCTAGGTGGTAGTCGGTTTCGGGTGTTGAGTTAGGGGCGCAGTACACCAAGACAATAAGGCAAGCGTCCCTGACTTTTAACTGCAACCGGCACCAAAGAGAGTCAGGGAACTGCGAGTCTGAATCCTCCACGGCTTCGCACTGTAAGTCGTTTCGGTAGTACAGGATTACCCCTCCTCCTTTTGTGAGCCTGTCGTTCCGGATCAGCGACATGCCGGGTAGCGACACTTCAGCGTCCGTCATTCCCGTGTGCAACCATGTCTCGGTGATACCAATGACATCATACGAGCCGGAAGCTTGGCGATCTTTCAGTTTAGCCAGTTTGTTAGAAAGTCCCTGAGCATTTGTATACAAGCAGGCCAGTTTCTCGGTCTCTAGGAGCCCGCAGAGAGGTGAAGCTGTCAAGTGTGGGAGAATGTCGACCGATGGGAGGTCGGCAGTCACTCGTTTTTTTTGATGGGTCAATGATACCTCGTTTGCAACTTGATTCGGCCAAGATGCGTCCCAGCCTTCGTTTAGACCTACGTCAGAGTCAACTAAAGCAGCAGTCAAGTTACACTTCTGTACATTCGTCAGGATGCTTGCTGCTTCAGGTGCTTTAATATTTGAGCTGTGCAGTGTTTGAGACCTTTAACCGAATTTCGGAAGGAAGATGTTTCCGATTTCTCCGCCATCGATCCAAAACATCCTTTGCTTGTTGCTCTGACTGAACCAGAAGTTTTAGGATTCTAGGGCCGCATCCTCTATAATTCGATGAGAGAGGTATCCTAGTGAGCGACAGTGCCACAACATTATCCAAAGAAAGTGCTTCGCGAATGAACCGCCACTGTTCTAAAGCGTGCTTTCCGGTCTCTTGAACATCGTTAGAAGGATGTTCTGGCACGCCATGTATGAAGATTGTGTTTAGGCGATCTTGCTTGCTGTGCACCTCTTCGGTGTTTCGTTTTGGTTGTCGCGCGCTCCAAGGGACATCAGGATAGATACGTATCCCACAGGATTCGTGTTTTAGCGCGCGTGCAGAGAGCAAAACGTTTTCTACGTCGGTGGAGGATTCTAGAGTTACTTGAATAAGTCTTGGTTCACCATAGTGTGGCGAGTTCGGATGACGAGTAATTCGTAACAAGTTTATGGGCTTGGCTTTGATACTCATCTGCATACACAATGAGTTCCATTGGTCTTGGTCGTCCGATAACTTATCCCGCAATGTGATGGCGGTAGATTCAGGGACATTTGAGCATACAACAGTCCGGGCACTGTTGTTGGATCCCTTTTTAATCGATCTACAAGGTATGGTACTCATTTGTCTTGACTTGTTGACAAGTGATTGTTTGCTCTTTTTCCCTCTTTTTGCGTTAACGGTGTTTACAATGGCAGAGGACGCAACGGCGGCCTCTCGGTGGACCCTTGCAGCAATCTCTGCATACGTAACCGATGTTCTGGGAGGCTTAGTCTCGACAAGAGATATTTGAGCTACAGGTACCAAGGGTTGGTGTTTGGCTGCTTCATCTTTGTTAATACTAGATGTCAGGTCTAGTGGAATTTGCTTAACCAGACGTTTTGAATGGTGCCTGATTTTCGTTGCTGTGCGTACTGTTTGATTCACGTAGGTACAGTCTGTTTTCGCCCGGCGTTCTACTAAAGTTGGAGAAGACAACGGAGATGGAGACGTGGCTGATTGCGGTGCAGGGAAGCGGATTGTTTAGCATTCTGTTGCTTAGCAGCCGCTACGCTTCTGTGGTCCATACTCGCTTCCATTGAAGTAAGCTTCTGGTTGATTCTCTGCTCTGCTTCTGCGATTAACCGGTCGCATTTCTCAGCTAGGATAAGCAAGCACTTAACGAGAGGGATGGTGGGACACGCAGTACAGAACCAAAATGCATCTTGGGAGCTATTTCGCTCCCGTAAATGTTGTTGGGACACATTCGCACATTTCATATGGTACCATTCCAAACAGTGCGAACAAGCCAGACCGATTTTTACTAAGCGATGACATTCTCCTAACCCGCAAATGCCTTTCGATGGGAGACTCTTCGGTTTCGCCTTTCTGTCATTCAATTTGGTGTCGTTACCTGACCCAGTGGGTTGGTTAGCGTTCTGTACTTTTACAGCTTTGAGAGCGGCGCACATCGGTCAGGCGAGCGTGGTGATTGCAAGGTCAAATCAGAGGGTTTCTGTCTAAACTCTAATTAGCAGACTTGTACCTTTTTCACCAAGTGGGGTCCATACATGTTGGCAATACTTGTACATTTTAGTGCCGGTACAGGTGTTCGGTCGTTCTCCGAGTTGGATATTTCGGTTGAAAATATCTCATTACCAAACCAGGTAACATCGTACGTGTGAATTCGCAGAAGTTGGACTAACGATGTTACCTGGCTTGGTAACGTAACATTTAAAACCAAAAACACCCAGCTCGAAGAACAACTGAGAACCCACAATACCCCGCAAGCACTGGTGATCAAAGATAACCAATGGCTTAATGTCTTCACTATGAAGCATCCGCATTTCTGTTTCGTACAAGAACGTCAGCTTTGTCGTAACGTAGTACATCCTATTTTTAATGACAGGCCGATATTCAACTGTCCCCGTAGAGGATTCATGTCTTCCAAAGAAAAAGTAACTTGCGGACATTTGGCAAGCCTCATCAGTGACCCAGAGATGACGTAAACACCAAGGTAAGTGGACTGACTGACCAATTTCAGTGGTCATTCAGTGACAGTTAAAACCGGTAAAATGTTGACTCAGTTTTGGAACAGCAATATGCATATTGAAGGTGAAGAGAACATGAGGAGGTGTGTAGCATCATGTCAGCCTATGCAGAAACGCTTGCACAGCTGCTAGACTCAACAAAAAGCTGCCTACCGTATAATGAAAGCTTATCAGTATAACATCAGACAGAACTACATTCCAGAAGAGGCTGAGAGAACAGGGTTATATACGAACACTTCGATCACAAAGATGAAGAGAATAGAGGGCGAAAGTGGTTCTCTCCATTCGTTGTGCGGAACTTGGGATTTTAGAGCAGAAAAGTTTTTCCGGCACACCTTCAACAATGAGCATCACCCCAAATTAGCATGGTCGGCTGGTGGCCGAAAAGATTGCTCGCGTGCCTTTTAATCCGGGGGTCACCGGTTCGATCATGTGTAAGTGTGGACAATCGTGTGACAGTGAGGCGTCGGTATGATGTACCTTAGTACCGCTGACACCTATGAACAATTGAGTCGGATGGGGTTTTCAAAGCAAGGAAAATCCCCATGGTGAGCTATCTGTATGCACCAACCGGTGGTAGCTCGAAGTTTAGCAAAGGCGAATTGCATCAGAAACTCTTCTCCCAGACTGGCATAAACGTAAGAAACTGGGTATGCGCGAGTTGGAAATAAATGCGAAGAAACAAAGACTTCTGCAAGCCTCAATATACCACACCAACTAACATGTTTTAATATTTTACGGACGAAAAAGAAAAACTTAGTTGCCATGAATACAATAATAAGTTAAGTGAATTTTATGACATCTGTGGTCCAACCAATTCCGAAGACTAGCTATTTGAATGAATGTCATGCGTTGGAGTTGGAGGCAGATAACCACACTTTAAGTGGCACTTGTCGCGGGATGGCACAGCGAACTTAGGTGCAACGTACTTGATGGGATGATTAACCTACCGACATTCGCCAGATCCCACGGCGCTGCATCAGCGATTCGCTGTGAGTGCTGGTCTGAGGTAGATCTAAATTCCACTGGTGGCTTCGGATAACGCATGTAGTCCGACGAAGGCAGATCAGAACCAATGGCGGGTAACATGTGTCCAAGACTCAACTGCCCGCTCCTTGAAGAGTGAGCCTTTGACAAGGAAGTGTAACTTAAGCGCTCCGAGGAAACGCTTGCATCGCTCGTATGAAGTAGTTGGGCGCTTGCGTTGGGAATCAAAGCAGCTGGTAACGGGATGATCTCTTGGAATGCATTGGTTGAGTGAAGCTGGGAGGAATCGAGTGATTCCGCAGAGCTATCCATTGGTTCAGTACACATGATGTAGTTAGTGTTAAGTTCGGCATGGATGCGCGAAAATGCATCCTCCAAACAGCTATGCAATTCGTGCAAGCTCTGCAGAGTCAACGAATTTGGATTCGAAGTGGCGTCGCGAACTTTGGAGACTAAATCTGCAGAAACAGTAGGAAAGCAGCCATTAGGATAACATAAACTAAGTAAAATTCCTGATAATGAAAAAAACAGACGCTATCGTGCGTGGTGGATCAGTGGCCCGAAAAGGTTTCGAAAGATGTAACGAAAACGTACAGCAATGCGAATCGAGTGTGAACACACGAACATACTGTTTATTTTACGCGCAAAGGTGTATCAGTTGCAGACGAACAGTCATATTAAATGAGACGACCGAGTTTCAATTCCAAGCAAACGGTGACCGAGACTTATATAGGGTTCCTAAGATCGATAATGCAGCGAAAGATGAAACTCAAGTATGTCAAATAATAATAATAATAATCATCAGTACACGTTAGCTGAGGGTGAGAAACACACCTCAGCTAATGTGCTGCAATACAAAAAGATAAGAGACTAAAAATTACACTACAAATATGTCAAATCACAGATGTTAACACAGTAACTGAAAGCAGATGGATAAACACAATATATAGTAGTATCAGCTGAACACTTGGAAGATGATACGCCGTTCTTAATCTGTACCAACGTGAGGTCAAGAACTGTTCTACTGTTACTGCTCTCGCCATACAATTGACTCATGCCTAGGATGACTGTTCGAAGTGTGGCGGGAGCATGGATATGATTGTCTGCTAGCTAAGAGTCGAGATACATTCGATTGGGTCGGTGGAATCATGGTGAAGTTTCCCAGCGTCTAGGAGATACGATGTACTGAAGACGTTGGCTAACGATCACAATTGATATCCAGTTCAACTGCGGGCACTATGACAGTACGCCAGTCCATCTGCTAAAAATATGACATGGTTGGCGGCATCCGGTTTCGGATTTGCCTGTCACTGTGGCAAGCCACAGGACGCCTGCGCCTACAGAGGGACCATGGATGGCTTGCGCTGCACCACCCACAGCTCCAACCACATACCCCATATCCAGTGTAAACCCGAAGGAATAAGACCGGGAGGCATGCGGATGGGAACCACGTTTCATCAACGGAGCCGGCCCACACTCCTTCACAGGCAAACACAAGTACGCTGTATTTGGGGAATCAACCGCACACAAGGCGGTGGCTGGACCGTAGTCCGCTCCACACTGAGTGCATGGAACCGCTCTTTGAGCCTAGCACGGCCACAAGAACCGTGCACCCCGTCCCCTCCAGCAACGACCAACTGTCTCCTGGAGCCAGTATGAACGATGTAGTGGGTAATAGACAGGTAGGCACTTTGTCAACATACACATCAAGCGAAACCATACCAGGGATATCAAACAACAGCCGTTCACTTTAAACGACAAGCTGAAATAAAATAAATCCAATAATGCATTCAGATACGGTGGCATAACTCTTCGCTAAATTACCATATGAAGTAAGTTGGTTAGCAACAAATCCGTGATAAGTAAGAAACGTCCACAAGTTACTTAAAATGCTACAAACGCAACAAAATTACCGAAGATAAGCGCAATTAGTGTAAGCAACGTGGCCAGTTAATAGAACATTATTCAGGGAGGCAGAACAAACCAAATAAAGCGGAATGAAATTTAGCCAGCTTAAAAAGACCTAGTTTAAGTGTAAGTTGGTTTAGCCCAACTGCGGTGAAGAAGCATCAAGAATGCAACAACATAGGTACATATAACTTCACGCTACATCGGCCGTCGAAAACCAAAGAAAATGGTCGTCTTATCTGCTACGTAGAGCAGCATGCAGAAGCAAAAGTATGCTAACGCCTACGCCTCTTTTCTTTCTGTCTCCTTCCCCTTCAGGGTCGCCATTTCAAGTTCCCCATTTCGTCTATCCATTTTACTTACTAAGCGCAATCCTATACCTTCGTGAAAAGCGCTCAAGATCGAATACTAGGAATTGTGCACACCACTGGACCAGAAAAGGAAACAGTGGCTTACGCGATGCACTGAACTGGAACTCGGTTGCTACGGCATTGATATTGCCGCACTCAGTGAGGTGCGACACGCTGAACAAGGGAAGCTACGTCAGAATATGGCTGCTTATATGTTTTACTAGGTGGGAAACGCCACTACGGTACCATGAAAACATGGTGCTAGATCTGCACTATCCGACCGCCTAAATGGCCACCTGATAGAGGAGCTGAATGAGATCATACAAAGGTTGATGTTAGCTCGTCTACCCATCGGACGGAGTAAATCTGCATGTGCAGTCTTGATGACACGAAAGGTCAATTTTACCCTCAGCTGTCCTCCGTAGAACGGTGATTTCAACGCGCGCGTCGGAAGTGATGTCATAGTGCGCGTAGACGCAGTCGAGCCTCGTGGTAATGGTCTAACCGACGGTAATGGTGACCAATTTTTAGCTGGAACCGGTGACATTCGGGTTGCAAGGCCTTCTGCCAGCATCCAAACTATAAACATGTATAAAATCCATATCCAGATCATCTGATTTGAATCAGCAGAAACTTAATGCTCGTTCTCTAGGTTATGTTGAGAACAGGAAGGGGCTGGAGAATGCAATAGCAACTCGCCTCGGCAACGTCGGTTCCATCGCTTTAGTAAGCACTCTGTAGCACCACCCAAAGGAACGGGTGACCGCTGCCGCCAGGAAGGTGATAGAGCGCTCGAGCCTTAATCGGTCTGGTTGACTTGATGATAACAGTGCAGCAGCAGTTACAGCAAAATGCTGCATTTGCTGCACACGAAGAACCCGGAAACTCGGAAAAAAGGCAAGGTTCGCAGGACGTGCGGGCAACTGACTCGGCGGTTCCGTCGTATCAAGAATATAGGGAAGAAGAAGAAGGTAAGTAAATGGAAAGAACACCGAATGCCGTCCGTATAAAGAATCCCACGATTTTCCGGAGGCCGTGCATGGGTCCACGATGAAAAATCAATGAGGATGTTAGTGGACACTGCTTTGGGTGCTGCCTGCATACCGGTTGTAGACATCATGTAAACGCAGACACAGGCATTTTGCTAGTCTGTTAAATGAGAGTGACTGGAACACGCTGTACGAGTTGAAACAGAAAATCGCGAAGGACAGTCTTGCAGTCGTTTCTGGACGGCGCGAAATGCAAAAGCAGTTGCTCAGCTGGTGCTTCGGTGCGGACGGAATCCGTCGGCAGACCTGTAATGCTACCTGCACTGCACCGCTAGGTGGAACGCATTTGGATCGAAGGACAAACACTTACTTCTGAGACACCTTGGTGCTACTACTGCACAGAGGTAAAGAGAGTTAGCAGTGAGCCAACAATCATTGTGACATAAACATGTTAAACGGCGTTGGGATTCTGCTCGTACACTTCGTCACTTATGTCCTGGAGGCAAAGGTGGCGAAAGGATATTGCGGGTTCCGTTCGCGCCGCGGCTGAGTTGAATGGGTGTCAGTGCAGCATAATTCTGCTGCTGTCGGCACCATTTACTTAACCTGGGCCAATACTGTGTCAAGTGTCTTGCATCATAGTTAAAGTTGATTTGTACATGTGCCTGCTAGTTGATGCAGTAGCACGTCTGAGGTCCTTTGACTGTTGGCATCCAAAGTCTGATTGTGCATGCCTACAATGAGTACACTTGTCGAAAACCGTCACCACGATTACTGGCCCCAGGAGATTGCTAATCGTTGCTAGAGGAAATGGAGTGCACAGTTCCGGTGATAGCGACAAGCCCAAAGCGGTTCAATCCAGTGCGGAACAGGATGTGGTCCAGGCACCGCTCTATGTATGCGTTACGCACGTTTTCCATTTTTGTGTAAATGGTGTGCATGCAGAAGGGGTGTAAGATGATTCAGAATCTATCGTAGTTCACATCCACACAACTTAAGCATAATCTGAGGTGTGTGGGTGGACCTATGGGTGGTGCAGCGCAGGCTACCCGTGGTCGGTCTGTAGGCACAGGTGTCCTGTGCATGTTCGCAGCCACAGTGCCAGGTAAACCTGGCTACAGATGTTGCCTACCCTCGTAGGTCCTTCTTCTGAAGCAAAAGACGGGAAGAAATTCAAGCCTTGAAACGTCATGAAGCTCCCAGTTTCGACAGTCTTCTGGTTATATTCAAAGGTGGATAGAATATAGTCATCAGTGAAGCCCTCTCACTGTCCACCAAGGACTGCACTGGTGAAAATATCCTCCAACCGTGTGGGAAATGATATAAGCAATTAAGAGGATTGTGAGTAAATTGAACAAAATACTCTGCCAGTCGATCCAAACGCTTGCATACATCGTATATTCTTGTGTCGTCTGACTCGCAGAGTGTTCGCCTGTAGGTTTGTGATTTGCATTTGGTGGGTCTGATGAAACAAAATGACCTGCAGCACTTTCTAGCAGAGCGGTTTCCATTTGTCGCCTGAGTTGACAGCCAGGATCTACGGTTAAAGTAATGGTTTGCTTTTGGCTGCTGAAAAATAAAGCGGTGAAGTTCTTTGTGTTATGCGCCGGTGTGCACAGCCTCTCGAGAATCATGTAGTTTCACGGATGTTGCCGAAATCCGAATTACAGCGGTGTAATGAACAAAGACGCGGTTGGATAAACCAAAGAAAGCATGATTTTCTACAGGTGTAATCAGTGTTGACCAACACGCAGAACACGAGGCTTTCAGAAAGTTTCTGTGGACGCTACAGCTACATAGTGGGGTAGCCCAAATTACCGATACTCAATCGGGTTTGCTTAGTCCTAGGCGAGGCCCTGAAACGCATGCAAATCATCGCACGTACCACTGTATGATCAAACTCAACGCAAATTAATCATTAGGAAAGGCACTCAAGTGTGTTTCCAGGCGGCGCGATAACGTCTAGGGCACGGGTGTCCAAACAATTTGCAAGGAGGGTCACATTTTGTGAGGTAAAAATATGTCGGACCATATTCGGTATGACATTAAGATAATAACAAAAAGCACACATGTAGGAAAAAGTCCAAGCATGAGTTTAACATTTCATGATGAGGCCGCGGGTCAGTTGAAATGTTAATGCGGGCCGAATTTGGCCCCCAGGCCGGACTTTGGACATCCCTAGTCTAGGGTGACGAAAGTATGTATTGGAGG